AGTTTTGTAGAAAGTCCTTCTGGGGTTATGTTGATATATGAGGAGGTGTTCTAGCAAAATTGTAAACGAAATTGTAAAAATGTCGCTTTATGTCGCGCGAGGTTTATTTCTCAGAATTGTAAAAATGTCGCTATTATTTGGATCCATAAATAACGAAAAGTTACGTGCGTGCGCGTATTTTTATGAACTGTAAATTGTTACATATTGTAAATCTTCTGAGCCTTTCGTAGCTCGGCGGTTAAGTCGCCGTTTCCATGAAGCATACCCCGGATCGAGCCTCGGCGGAGGTCATTTTTTTGGCATTTATTAATTGCTTTACTACAATTATCAGCAGAGCACCTTAGTAATACACTTCATCAGATAAATTATACTGTTCGAACTTCAGCTAGGGAAGGATTGCCTTCAAGGATTTGTCCGGAGAAGGCCTCGTTCACACTGGAACATGTCAAATGGTAAACGGAGTTATCTGGTAATGTTTGTTTTGTTTATGGCTAGAATTTAGAATGGAATCAATGTGATGAGGATCCAGAGTTAATTACCTGCTAGGATTAATAAGTCACTTTCTACAGTTGAAGAGGTCACTTTTTCAAACTTTAAATGAAGAAATTGGCTCGGAAGTCGGAACTTCATTCCTTATAGATTCATCACTTTCAGTTAATAACGACAGTGTACCATGAAACCAGTTAAATAACTGTATAGAAAGACCAATCCACCGGAAATAAATGAACCAGATTTCACAGAACTATATACCGACTCAATAAAATTAAAACCATTTGATAAGGTTTGAGTCGAACTTTTTTGTGTCTGCTAAAATATATACAAGGAATACAAGGAATAAAGGAATATAAATTTCAAATCTCAAGTTATATTGCAACAGCAACTGACTAGCATCGATAGCCTGAACCCAGACACACAGGATATCAGGAAAACTCTGGAATCACTCCATGGGACGACGTACCTGCACTGGATTCCCGGCCACTCCAACATTGCTGGGAACGAATACGCTGACCAAGCAGCAAAGGAAGCAGCACAACTCCCGGACCTGGGCCAAGGACAGTCTACAATCTCATACGGAGTAGCCAGAGCAGTAGCGAAGGCTCACATCAAGGATAGCGACCCCCAACACCACCTGGTCTCCCAGACTTACAAGGGATACAACAGAAAAAGAGCGGACAGTAAAATAGAGAGCAGGAAAGACGGAGCGCTGCTAGCACAATACAACTCAGAGCAGGCCATTGCCTTCACCTGTCCCACTACAAAAATAGGATTGACTCTACAAAGAGTGCAACTTGCCCCCGTTGCGGAGAAGAAGAAGAAACAGTACCACACTGGATTCGGTGCCCTGCAACGATCAGGACGAGAGAAGAAATCTTCGGAAAATCTGACTTAAACTTAGACATACTAACCACCAACCCGATAGAAATCCTGGCGTTTGCTAAGAAGAGGGAGCAGGACTATTGAGCGGAGGACTGTTAAGCGTAGGACTGTAGGTCGGTGAAGGTCGGAAGTAGGACTTTAGAGCGGTGTCAAATCGCCAGGGTAGGACTCTAGAGCGGCCGCCCTTATAGATCTCACAACATGAGGACTTTAGAGCGGTACGATCCTAAAATGAGGACTGTAGAGCGGTGGACTGTTGAGCGGTGGACTGTAGGCCGGTGAAGGTCGGAAGTAGGACTGTAGAGCGGCCCTCCCTTATAGATCCCATAACATGAGGACTCTAGAGCGGTACCCTCCTATAACATGAGGACTCTATAGCGGTTGAAAATTTGAAGATTGAACACTCAACGAAGCTAAGTTATACATTGTAACTCGTGATTGATTATGGTCATGACATTCTAGGATGATAACTTTATTAAAGAGTCATGGAGTTAATGAACATTTTCATTATAAATATTATAGTGTATCTTTATTTAAGATTATTGGTCGGTCTCAACGTCTTCCAAAAAATTTGAATATTAAATAAAATTATGTTTTTTAAACTCGTAATCAATAACACATGTGATATTAGGAGAAGGTTTGTTTGCGTAGCCAGGATGACGACCCGTTTCTCCGTGCCCTCGTTGTCGTACACGAGCATTGATTCTCCGTTGAGGGATTCGATGGCAGAGGGATCCAGTTGGAGGTCGGCCAAGGTTCCAGGAGCTGTAACACTCTGCATATTGTAGGTAGTTGTAGAAGAGGAGTAGGAATCGAATTTGATATACGAAAACTGGATACTCCGTGATATTTATACCATACCTTCGAAATCCTAACAAGATATCGCACTGCGATGGGATCTGATCTGAATCAGTCCCGTCACCAGATTGATGAACATGAGATATCCTTAGTAGGCGCTAAAGCGTCACGCGATACGATCCTCATTCCTAAATGATCTGCACGAACTTGATCGGTACTCTGCTTAGCGAAATCACATTGATACGAACAGTTCACTAAAATACCGAAGACACGTTTTACATTTTTGAGTAGCAGGGGAATATTTCAATCATTTGGAAGACGTTGAGACCGACCAATAATCTTAAATTAAGTTACACTATAATATTAGTAATGAAATATTTATAATAAGTAAATGAAAATGTTCATTAACTCCATGACTCTTTAATAAAGTTATCATCCTAGAATGTCATGACCATAATCAATCACGAGTTACAATGTATAACTTAGCTTCGTTGAGTGTTCAATCTTCAAATTTTCAACCGCTATAGAGTCCTCATGTTATAGGAGGGTACCGCTCTAGAGTCCTCATGTTATGGGATCTATAAGGGAGGGCCGCTCTACAGTCCTACTTCTGACCTTCACCGGCCTACAGTCCACCGCTCAACAGTCCACCGCTCTACAGTCCTCATTTTAGGATCGTACCGCTCTAAAGTCCTCATGTTGTGAGATCTATAAGGGCGGCCGCTCTAGAGTCCTACCCTGGCGATTTGACACCGCTCTACAGTCCCACTTCCGACCTTCACCGACCTACAGTCCTACGCTCAACAGTCCTCCGCTCATTAGTCCTACAGCCCTAAGAAGACCTTGCTTGAGGGACCCTTAGACGCCTAGCCCATCACCACCACCACCACAGCAACTGTCAAGATAATAAAAATAATAATAAAATAACTCGCCCCTGTCCATAATAATAATCGACATCTTGATTGACTTCACTACTCCAGACAGTATTGATTATCTATGTAAACTCGCGCACGCACCTACCTTTTTGCAATATTTAGAATCAAATTTGTCCGCATAATCATAGTTTTGAAAAGCGACATTTTTACAGTTTTGAGAAGAAAACATCTACTGTGATATATAGTAATATAGTACTTTACGTAGCACGCAGTGAAAATTTAGATATCATATTCTTGGATTATCTTTGCGCGCGCGTCACTCACTGAAGGTCCGTATATAATATTATGGCCGATTTCGCATATTTAACTGACTGACTGACTAAGACCGGCAGCCGGCCTTGTCGCACTAGAGTACTTGTCGGACTAGAGTTACCGCCGGACTAGAGTTACCGCCGGTAACTCTAGTCCGACAAGTACTCGAACTACTCCGACAAGTACTCACTACGATGCAGGTAGCGTACTCTAGTGCGACACAATATCCTGTCTTATTTCTTTATTTCCAAGTTTAGGTCAGATCCTCTTTCGCACTAAAGTGCCCATCTTGTGGACCCGATTCGTCGGTTCACGTCATGTATTTCGATGTGATCCACTGATTATAATTCCTTCGGTTCAGTTCAAGCCACGTATGCAGTATGTGATCCACTGAGTCACTCATAATATGATCCTAATTCCTATCATACGCATCGTATGAAGATATATCTCCGATTGGGATAACAAGTTCATATGCTTGGGCCATATATAAGGTCACGATGATTCTACCAAAGCATCGAACAACATCAACATGTCTTCTACAATCATCTTCATTCCTGGACGCACTACTGGTTCAAGAAACGTTATCCACGACGGATACCGCTACTGCCTGGATAAGAAGCGCGACGACAAGACCTACTGGCGATCCACTGATAAGACCTGCTCCGGACGCCTCAATCTGATGAACGACACTACCTTGACCAGTACGAAGACCCCTTCCCACCCTCCTACTCCTGCAAACTGAAAACTCTGTCTACACAGCAAACATGAAACGGGAAGCTTCCCCGGAAAGACACAGGCTTATTATGAAGCCCTCTTGGATAAGCTCCTTGCATTTGGAGTCGAACCTCAATCTGTCATTAAAACTCAAAAACATTGTATTGCAATGCATTGTCGCACTACAGTACGGGAAGCGTACTGTATGTGACAGTGTCGATCTTGAAGGTTTCGCACTAGGGTATGTTTCGCACTAGGGTATGTTTCGCACTAGGGTATGTTTCGCACTAGGGTATGTTTCGCACTAGGGTATGTTTCGCACTAGGGTACGTGTCCCACTACAGTACGGGAACCACTGGGGCTCCCAAAAAGTACTTGATTGAAAGCCAGTTCATCATTATGTCTCGCTACCTATATGCCCGGCTAGTTTCATTCTCCTTCGAGCAATCATCACACTTCATGATGCAGCTGCCAAGATACACGAAATCACTGACCCTAAGTTCGATTTATGTGCCACTATCTGCCTTGATCTGATCAGTCCCTCCTGGAAGGTTCACGCTTGATGCGGTACACCCTGTACTGTTTTGATCTACCAAATTTGGTGCGCATGCCCAAATATGGGCATATGGTTTTTGGCTCATAACTCAGTCATTTTTGTCCAATCTTGATGAAATTTCATATACGAGTCCAGGAGACCACTAGTTACAAGTAGAGCACCTAAAATCTGGGTTTTGGGCATGTTCAGGGTATTTGGCTAAATTGGGCCTAATTTGGACCAAATATGGGCGTGGCTGCCCCGCGGGCACCGTTTGGGGGTTGGGGTCGGGGACCCCCTCAAAAGTTCGGTCACTGGTCCTAGTTTGTTGCCCCCCCCCCTCCCCCCCTTAATGACCAGTCGGACTGTAACGCTTCTATAACTTGCAGTCAGTGGTTAGATGAAGTTGATGCGCCGGTGTTGGAAAGATCTAGAACAATGGCCTCAGCTCCTCGTGCTAGAATTCAAGTTTCTGAGAACAAGATGAAAAAAGCTCAGTTAGTTGAAAAACATTTCTTTCTAGTTTCGCTTCTCATCTTCAATTCTATGAATTTGTTGCCGAAGTAAATTTGCCTAAATCCTTATATCAGTAGTATACAGTAGTACTATAACTAAATCTTGATGTTTAATTTCAGGGAAGATCTGATAGGGTCCCATCAGATTCACATTTCTCAAGTCACCAACCTCTGTACTATTGAGGCAGAGCTTCTCCAGCATTACTCCGATGGTCATTTGGTGAGTTCATATACAGTATATAATACAGTATATAGTATTATCTTATACAGTATACAGTATATAGTATTATCTTTTAAATAGTTTTACAACTGCGGTGATCATGTAGTCCTTCACGAATACACAAACATGATTGAATAAAACATTTTGAAAAGAATCCTTTTTATCCTTGTGTTTCAGGAGTTTGGGGAGTATTTAAAGAAGTTAGAAACTATTTTGGAGAGTAAAAACAAATGTGTGGAGAGTCTGCGGGCTCAGGTTGCGTGTTATTCGCTACGAGCTGCTTATTGAACAGTGGTTAAGATCTGACCAAAAAAGGAACTATTACGTGAACAAATCAGACCAATGGACAAACCCCACTCAAGGGCATTCTTCAATGTCATATGTTATTTGCCAAGAAAGAAACGATTTGATGCCACAAGTAGACATCAACTCATTTCAAAAATTGACGAGTATGTTCGTGTAATTTAATCAAGAATTCTTTATAATAATGGAGCTAACTCTAGGTTTAACCAGGACTCACATCATTATTAACTATGTATTATAAACCTTACTAATTTCATGTTAGATAATTCATAATTAGTTGAGATGTTGTAGATTAGTTTATAATCGCGGGATAAATTATTAAATTAGGAGATTCAGTGAAATATGATCAGCAGAATATAACAGAATTATACCTTAAAATAACTTTATTAATATTATTGGAGTAACATAAAGGTAACATTGTTTATCTCCTTCTTACTCGTATACAGTGTATAGTACGAGTATACTATACTGATTTGACCTTGTATTTTACATTTTACTCTATATTTGCCAGGATTATTCTGCTAATTGGACACTCTACAGTTTGCTGCTGTAAAGTATTTTATTGGAGGTAACATTTTTGCAGAGCACTGCTTTCTTGACCTCATCATCCTTTTTGTTTCTGGGGAATTATAGGAACAAGTTAAATTAAGATGAAATATGTAAAATGATGATAAAATAAATATTAATATTATCATTGATGAAAAGACGAATTTATTTTGGTAATTGATGAAGATTTTTGTGTAAATGTATTCTTGTGTAAAGTGTACAGTTCATTGTTTTAAAGTCGACTCTCTCCTTCAGATATGTAAAAAATTCGCGAAAACAACAAAATTTTAGTTGCAAAAACTGGGCAATAATTTAAACATTTTTTCAACCCTTGAAAATTCTTCACGATCTTTGATAGACCCACATTCCACAATGTTCTAAAGGGGGCCGGGGGGTTCACCCTGATTTAAACTTAAGGAGTTACATTTTATGAGAGTCGACTAAGTTGCTTTAATTTTCTAGCATGTAAAAAGTTCAATCCTAATATACGTGTAGTTAACCGACTTACTCAATAAATTAAACAATCCAAAACATAAACTGGCTCTTAAATCTCACTATTAACACCACACGCTATACACACTATACTAAACACTACACGTTACCCAGGTAACACTATACGTTACTAAGGTAACACTACACGTTACTAAGGTAACACTATACGTTACTAAGGTAACACTATACGTTACTTAGGTAACACTATACGTTACTTAGGTAACACTACACGTTACTAAGGTAACACTATACGTTACTAAGGTAACACTACACGCTGTTCTCACGAGACTGAAGATTCTCGGTGGTATGCTCTGATTTTGCGGATTGTTTGCAAATAGAGGCTATAAGGTACATAAGAGAGTCCATGAGTGCTGCACACAGTACCAGTGCTACAAGCACAACGCTAAATAGCGGACTGAGGGTGATCCTACTCCCATACCTACCTAGACTGTGAAGGAATAGCAGAGGTGCTTTAAACACCATGTTGGTGATACAAAATATAATGGTGTAGAATCTGTGGCTACTAACGTCTTTATTATGCTCTTTTCTCTTCTTCACGACCTTACTCCCTTCATCTACACCCTGAGTTACCATGGTTACCAGCGCATATTTCTTCTTACTTGGCAGTGCGCCAGCAATAACCCCTCCAAAAGTAACAAGTATCAGCACCCCCAATACTGTATCATACACCACCGCCAGACCTACACTCATTTCTACATCATACATGAGAAAGGCAGAGTCTACCACGTAATGAGGGGTAAGAAACAGAGGGATGAGGGTTAGGAGTAACAAGGTAACCCCTCCTCCCACTATCAGTCCTACTGCCACTTTACAAGGGGCAGGTTTCAGGTGAGACTCTGTCGCTCCTCTTAGAGAGAGGAGAGAAAGGAGGTAGATGTTGAAACGGAGGCTGAAGTTCCAGGCGTAGAGCCAACCTTTACTGTACCTGAGGGGGACAAGATAGCATCATTAGCAGAGATAACATATATATATATAATATTTATATATATATATATACTCAAGTTCTAAGCAACAGATAGCTAAAAGCTTAACAAATCTGTTGCCTAATCTTTCTCACAAACTAAAAGTAAATCTTTATTAAATTGAAAGTTTCCTAAAACGATAACATGATCTGACTCATTTTTAATCATGGAAGTGGAACCATACACCGTCCTAAATGTTGAACTAGTAATACCCCAGCAAACCCTACCAGCAGGGGTATAATGATATCTCCAAAAGTAAAATAGATAGAACCTTCCGGTTTTCAACAAAATTTCCGTCTCGTAAATTTAAAGTTAGCTCCCCAGGAGCCAAATTTGGGACAACTTAGATTCTGAATTAAACCGAAAAGTTTGATTTTGGGCTAAATAAAAGATCGTAGCTTTTAAACTTTGCAAAGTAATGTCCTTTTCATGACTACTAGGCTATATGCAGCGTGCGAAAGCTGGTGAACTTGATGTGACGAGCGAGGACAAACGTGCTGTTGAAAATCGATCACCTCTAGCGAGCCCGGCGGGTGGTAAGGTTTTCTGAGACTACAAAACCTGCAACATCACACAACTTATATTACTTCTAGTTCTATTATTGTATAAATTATATTTCAATCAATTCTAACTTAACTTACAAAACACACAGGGTCATAGATGGTCTTTGTAGCGCGATGCGTTACTGGGCCGCGCCACGCACTCAATTATGCTTCTCGCAACCACGCTAGATCGGCGGGTTGCGCTACTTAACTGGGCCTCGCCGAGCTGCGAAGAATTGACATCGTCAATTAAAGATAGGGGTCGTTCACATATTACGTAATCAATATTTTAGCAATTTTTACCCCCCTCCCCCCTTCCGTAATCAACCGTAATCAAGACCCAACCCCCCCTCCTGACAGCAATATTACGTAATCATGGCCTGACCCCCCCCCTTGACTTTTTTCATAGAAAACACTTTTCTCTACGTTTCCTGTTACCCTGATCATGCTATCATCTTATCATGATGAGCCGAAATCATTGTTATGATATCCGGCCAAGCACCTTCTAAACTACTTACTATTATAGCTGGATATTCGATCAATTTCTAAATTTTATCACTATCAGAGTGAAATTGAGTGGAATTTGAATTAAAATATTGTTAAATTGTTATTATTCTAGAGGGTAAAAAGAAAATTTTGATTACGTAATCAACGGCCGGAACCCCCCCCCCGTAATTAACCGTAAGCATTTGGAAACCCCCCCTCCCCCCTCGGATCGGCTGATTACGTAATATGTGAAGTGTGAACGACCCCATAGTCTATGTAATACTAATAAGATACACGATGAGCGATGTTGATTCACGATGTCAATCCTTCGCAGCTCGGTGAGGCACAGTGGTGCATCTCGCCGATTTGTGGTTGCGAGAAGCATTATTTGATGCGCGCGCGACCCAGTAGTGCATCGCGCTACTATACAATGAGCGATGCATTACCGAGCCGCGCCACGCATCATATCAAATAATGTTTCTTGCAACCACACCACCGTCGGTAGATCGGCGAGATGCACCACCATGGCCCCGCCGAGCTGCAAAGATTCACATCGTGAATCAAATAAGTCCCATGAGTTCAGAGTTGGCACAAAATTTTTTTCCTCCGATTTTAATAAATTTGGTACTTGATTCACGATGTCAATCCTTCGCATCTCGCCGATTTGCATACGTGGTTGCGAGAAAATGCGCGGCGCGACCCAATAGTGCATGCATTGCGCTACAAATTTTGTACTAAAGGTCGTTTAAAAATGTGAATAAAACAATTCCACTGTACTATAATTTTCGCTAAAAATGCTGCACGTCTCGCTGAGCTGATTACGACTCCATAACAATTATTTCAAAATAACTGAAACTATGGAACTGGAAGTGCATGGTTAGGTGGAAGTTAAAGGCCAAAAACTAAAAATATTCAGTTACACCAAGAAGACAGGGCCAAGCCTAAAATCTCGCCTCGTCTAAGAGGAAGAACTTGCTTTAGGAGCTAAACATGGTCCAACCAGCAAATGCCATAAGCCAAGATGCAAATGCTGCGAACTTGTCAAAGGCAGCTATGATTTCAAAGTGAACGGCAAGAAGGTGAAAGCTTCCCCTGGAAACTGCCTGAGTTACAACATCATTTAACTGTTCCAATGTAGTTTCTGTGGAAAGGCTTACGTCGGTCGCACTACTCGCTCTCTACGGGTTAGGACTGGAGAACATAGGGTCAAATATTATAAACTTTTAAATGGTGATAAGGTAGATGAAACAAGTGATGAATATAGTTTGGGCTTACATTTGTTGGATCATGGCTTTAGACAAAGGGAGGATTTTAACAAAATGCGTCAATTATTGATAATTCTAGTCCTAAAACTTTAGAAGTTCGTGAACATAAATACATCCAACAACTCAAGACTTTAAAACCTTTGGGAATAAACATTATAAATCCTTTTGGCCTTCCCTTACTCCTAACATCTTAATTTTATTTATATAACCGTTTTAAGAGTGTTCAAAATAAAAGGAATTTTGGGTTTACTAACTTTTTACAATTTTTAGACTTATGTCACTGAAGATGACGCCTTGCAACATGTTTGACGATAGCCTGTAAATCGATAGTTTGATCTCAGTATTTACAACAAATCATCTAGCTTGATTGAATCAAAGGGAGAATTAAATTCCTCTAAATCACTTCTTAATGGTTTTAAATTGATTTAGTTTCAAAATTGGTTAATTTGATGACGCCATCAAGTGGTGATGATGATGTTAAATTATTTTTTGACTAGCCTCATGCACAATATAGACCTATAAGAAGCAGAACTGAGCTTCACAACTCAAGGGATGGCCCAACATCAGAGAATACTTTTGTATTACAAGTTTTGTATTTTTATAAAAATAAAATTATTCTTGAAAAAAGCACTAACTTCAATAGTGTATTATGTGTAAAATTATCTTTATCCCGGTTGTTGCGACAAGTGAAAATGCTCTTATTAGGGAAAGGAGTTTAACTTCAATAGCATATATGTTTATGAAGGAGCACACTAAGAACATTTTTCGGTGACATAATTATAATAACGTTGTTAAGGGAGGCACTGAACCTTTAGAATGCAAATGTCATATGTTTACTGATTTCGTAAATCAGGATTGTGGTCATGTTGTGACTGGGGATGTTAATTTTGTAAAGCACGACGCCTTGAGAAGTCTGTTAGAGAAAGGTCCTTCTTATAAAGAACCTAAAACGATTGATTTTGATAAGAATTGTAATTCGGTAATAGATAATGTTAAAGAAATCTTAAAACCTTGGAGTAGGAAAGAGAAAATCGATAGTGCATGTTTAAATGGTTGGTTTAATGAATTTAGTGATATTGTTAAGAAGAATACTGAAGCTCTTAAAATGAAATATCCTAAACAGCTTAAACGGAAATCTGTGTTTAGTAATGATAAAGCTTGTGAAGAATTAGCGTTTATCAGAAAATATTTTGTTTTATGTCCGGTGGACAAAGCAACTAAGAACGTCGCTATTATTTGTAAACATTATTATTTAAGTGATATTATACAAGAGTGTCAATCTAATGAGGGTATTGATGATGTTAGTGGGGAGCATGAAGTTCGTGATATTAACAGAGATATTTTCAAGTTCATAGAAGACGTTGGGATAAAAGTAGATTCTAATATTGATATTTTACCTCACATGTTTTCGAGTCCTAAATTTCATAAGCCAATTTTAAAGTTTAGGTATGTTATTTCTTATGCTAATTGTAGTATTAAGCCCTTGGCAGTAAAGATTTCTTTTGCCTTAAAGGCTGTTTATTCAGAGATCTGCAGATATACTAACATGTTGTTTAAAGTAACAGGAGTTAATAGGAATTGGGTCATTTTGAATAATAAGCCGATTTTAGAAGCTTTAGATAAAATTAATGATAATAGCTTAGTAGTACAGTCAAATCCGTCCCTATTTAAGCCTTTGTCGGACAAAATTCGCAACAAAGCGATTTTTCACATCGGTTCAATCTAGAACCTTCTACGACATTCAGAAGTCGTTTTATTAGCGGAGATCCAATGTGGTAAAAAGTGGTAAATAGTGGTTATTCTTTACAAATTTCGAAAATTTTACAAGTCCAAAATATTGAAAGTGAAAATTTTCAAAAGTTTTATAAAAATTAGTTCATGAACATTTTTTTTTTGAACATTTAAAATATAATTTGGAACATTACAGTAACGTTATTCAAATCTCAAACAAAAAAAGTATATTTCAAAGCTTTGTGTTTTGATCATATGATTATGGGTGTATAGTGATTTTGATTGCATACATTTGATTGGGCAGTGATGGTGAGTGAGAAGATGATGGGAGTGCCAGCCAGTAACTCTGTCAAATGAACAGCCCACTGAGGAGTGGGTGAGCGCAGGCGCGAGAACGGCAGAGAGGGTGGCATAAAACGGAATACACGGCCACAGAAAAGACACAGAAACTAAACCGTGCGCGGTAAGTTAGCCAGTGTCTGAGAGCTAGTGTTGCCCGGCAGGAGGCATCCAAAAGAGGTGCCGTGGTGAACTGTCGAGGCTAAGTTCGAATGCAAGGCGAAGCAACTCAAACTGATGATGAAGAGGTAGACTGAACGGGAAGTGAAGAAAAAGGAAAAGGAAGGATCCAGCTGAGGTCTGGCTCATGTCAGGAAGTGATGAAAAGCTCACAGACAAAATCATCCGTGGCTGTCTACCCCGTACGTAGGCAGTGTCCGAGATTTCAGGCATCAGGATACACTGAAACAGTGCAGAGCTGATTACGACCAGGGTCCTCGCGGATACCCCGCCTCGGAGGTCGAGCCAATGCCCTGCTTTCGATACTTATGTCTACTGGTGGAACCTTCATATTTTCTCTACTAGCAGTCACTGTAACCCTATCACTCGGAAGGCCCCACAGCTCCTACATGGACGCACGGCCGGGAGCCCATGTAGGGA